ATGGATGTGAGGGGGCAGAATGAAATGTCTCCGGGTAAATTCTGTTGTCAGGAACCCCAAACCCGCCCCTATGACAGTAAGCGCGATCACATGACCATATCCAACGCGCATGGCTCTGCGTCCTTGTACTGTGCACTGTGAATAGTGGCGCCAGGAGGGGTGAGATCCTCAACTGTACTGTGACCCGGGATCCTGCATCTCATTGAGTCACATGACTTGTCTCTTACTGCCCTGGCTCCTCCTCCAACTTGTCTCTTACCATTCAGGCTCCTCCCCTGACTCATTTGTTTGGGCCCCCCGCTTCTGGTATTGCCCCGGGTCCTCTTTTGACTCTTTTGTTAATGCCCTGGCCCCTCCTCTGTCTCTTCTGTTACTGCCCCTGCTTCTCCCCTCACTCTTCTTATTGCCCCAGCTCCTCCCCTGACTCATCAGTTATTGCCACGGCTCTTCCCCTGACTCATCTGTTATTGTCCCGCCTCCTCCTCTGACATTGCCCCGGCTTCTCCCCTCACTCTTCTTATTGCCCCGGCTCCTCCCCTGACTCTTCTGTTATTGCCCCGGCCCCTCCTCTAACTCTACTGTCACTGCCCAAGCCTCTCCCGACGCATCTGTTATTGTCCCGGCTCCTCCCCTGACTCTTCTGTTATTGCCCCGGCCCCTCCTCTAACTCTTCTCTCTCTGCCCCAGCCTCTCCCGACGCATCTGTTATTGTCCCGGCTCCTCCCCTGACTCTTCTGTTATTGCCCAGCTCCGCCCCTGACTCTTCTGTTATTGCCCAGCTCCTCCCCTGACTCTTCTGTTATTGCCCAGCTCCTCCCCTGACTCTTCTGTTATTGCCCAGCTCCTCCCCTGACTCTTCTGTTATTGCCCAGCTCCTCCCCTGACTCTTCTGTTATTGCCCAGCTCCTCCCCTGACTCTTCTGTTATTCCACATGGTGCTGCTTTAATGTATTGCTGGGGTAGTCGGTAGTGGGATTTGTAGTCCTCTCTAGCTGCTAGTACATTGTGCTGTACCATCAGCTATAGAGGACTACAACTCCCAGCAATACATTATACACTGTACATTTGCTGTAGTCCTCTGTAGCTGGCGTTATTCTGCGTTGCGCCGTATATATGCAGAATACCAGCAGCTGTAGAGGACTACAACTCCCAGCAATAATAAATTATACGTCGCAATGGAGAATAACGCCAGCTACAGAGGACTACAAATCCCAGCAATAGCACCATATGGTATAATGTACTATTGCTGCGATTTTCTGTATTCCTCTGTAGCTGGCGTTATTCTGCGTTGAAAATACTTTTACTGTTCGGGGTCGCCCCAACTTGGGCAATTTTATCAAAGGGTCGCGGCCCTAGAAAGGTTGAGAACCGCTGAAATAGAGGATGTGTTGTCTCCTTTAAGCATTGGTTCTCAGCCTGTGGGTCGCTGTGTGTCCTCCTCAGCCCCCCGCCACATGTCGCTGCTGCAGCCGCGTCATCCCTAAATGGTACCATTGGGGGGGTCACCACAACTTGGCAAATGTTACCAAGGGGTCCCGGCCCTACAAAGGTCGAGAACCGCTGACATAGAGTGGTATCGAAGCAATTGGAATTCTCGGATACATTTCTTATAAATGGAGATTTTGGTCTTCGGAAGTCCGACCTGAAAGAAAGAAATCCGGACTCAGAATGCGTCTTCCAGCAACCGCTCCGCCGAAGTATTACAGCGTCCAATGAGCATCTGCTAGAGATGACGCGGTGCACCAATGATGTGAAGGGGCAGAATGAAATGTCTCCGGGTAAATTCTGTTGTCAGGAACCCCAAACCCGCCCCTATGACAGTAAGCGCGATCACATGACCATATCCAACGCGCATGGCTCTGCGTCCTTGTACTGTGCACTGTGAATAGTGGCGCCAGGAGGGGTGAGATCCTCAACTGTACTGTGACCCGGGATCCTGCATCTCATTGAGTCACATGACTTGTCTCTTACTGCCCTGGCTCCTCCTCCAACTTGTCTCTTACCATTCAGGCTCCTCCCCTGACTCATTTGTTATTGCCCCAGCTCCTCTCCTGACTCCTTTGTTACTGCCCCGGCTCCTCCTCTTCTGTTATTGCCCCGGGTCCTCTTTTGACTCTTTTGTTAATGCCCTGGCCCCTCCTCTGTCTCTTCTGTTACTGCCCCTGCTTCTCCCCTCACTCTTCTTATTGCCCCAGCTCCTCCCCTGACTCATCAGTTATTGCCACGGCTCTTCCCCTGACTCATCTGTTATTGTCCCGCCTCCTCCTCTGACATTGCCCCGGCTTCTCCCCTCACTCTTCTTATTGCCCCGGCTCCTCCCCTGACTCTTCTGTTATTGCCCCGGCCCCTCCTCTAACTCTTCTGTCACTGCCCCAGCCTCTCCCGACGCATCTGTTATTGTCCCGGCTCCTCCCCTGACTCTTCTGTTATTGCCCCGGCCCCTCCTCTAACTCTTCTGTCACTGCCCCAGCCTCTCCCGACGCATCTGTTATTGTCCCGGCTCCTCCCCTGACTCTTCTGTTATTGCCCAGCTCCGCCCCTGACTCTTCTGTTATTGCCCAGCTCCTCCCCTGACTCTTCTGTTATTGCCCAGCTCCTCCCCTGACTCTTCTGTTATAGCCCGGCTCCTCCCCTGACTCTTCTGTTATTGCCCAGCTCCGCCCCTGACTCTTCTGTTATTGCCCAGCTCCTCCCCTGACTCTTCTGTTATTGCCCAGCTCCGCCCCTGACTCTTCTGTTATAGCCCAGCTCCTCCCCTGACTCTTCTGTTATTGCCCAGCTCCTCCCCTGACTCTTCTGTTATTGCCCAGCTCCTCCCCTGACTCTTCTGTTATTGCCCAGCTCCTCCCCTGACTCTTCTGTTATTGCCCAGCTCCTCCCCTGACTCTTCTGTTATTGCCCAGCTCCTCCCCTGACTCTTCTGTTATTGCCCAGCTCCTCCCCTGACTCTTCTGTTATTGCCCAGCTCCGCCCCTGACTCTTCTGTTATTGCCCAGCTCCTCCCCTGACTCTTCTGTTATTGCCCAGCTCCTCCCCTGACTCTTCTGTTATTGCCCCTGTTACTTTGATATCCGTCGGTCCGGTGACAGAAGCGACCTGGAATCATGTGATCTCCCCTGGTGTAAATACTGATCACGTGACTTCTCTGAGAGGTAATACCGATCAAGGAAGCGGAGACTACATATATCGTCACCAATATCACGCCCTCCTGCACGTGACTGCTAAACCCCGCCCTCTGGGCAGTCAGCTGATTTCGGGATCACATGACCGGAAGAAGCAGTTGTCCGGTGGGTGAGTACGGGGCACCTGTTGTGTGCGGGAAGTCCGAGTGGGGGCGGAGCCTCTCTGCTGTCACCCCCGCCTGACACTGACAGGCCGAGCCGGGTCACATGAAGAGAACCTGTCATCGGAGCAATAAGAAGAATGCTGCTGGCCTGGCAGTGATGCTGATCCTCTGGCTTCACGACTTTCATTCCCTACCTGGAGCAAGTGTACCAAGTGGGAGTTCTGACTTCACTGGCAGCATGCTTGTCCTAGGCTGGGAGGTCATTTCCTGCAGAGATGTGACAGGTTCTCATCCTGGAACTCCCCAACACCCAGCCTCCTAACTAACTATTGTACCCCTCCCCCAACACCCAGCCTCCTAACTGATGTATGTTTACAGAATGCGGCCTCCTGTCCTTACAGATTCCGGGTTTCGTCATTGAGATGTCCTGTGAGAGAATCCCGAGTCCAGACAGCAGGGAGGTGAAGGAGGTAACAATGAAATAAACCCCCGCGTGTCCCCCTCCCGCGTGTCCCCCTCCCGCGT